GCTTCCCCCACGCTTGCCGATCGTCCGTGGCCTTTTTTGCGTGTCCCTTTCTGCCTCTCGCTTGTCATTCTCTGTCTCTGTTCTGTATCGTTATCCTCGTTCCCTTCCTTATTTGGTCAGCCCGTCTGGTCACGCAGCGCAAAAGGTGGAGCACACAACAGCTGGAGAGATGCTGAGGGAAAGAGCTCTGTTTACAGAGGGGTTTGCCCCACTTGCAGGTAAGTTACTTGGTGCTTGCGGCGGCTCTGTTAGGAAAGAGCGACTGAGACGAGGCGCTGGCCGCGGATGGCCGACACGAAGAGCATTTTGAGAAATGAGTGAAATGGAGAGACAACGTTTCTCTTATTATTGAAACGTGCCGTGCTTTCAATTCAGTTTGAAAAGGAGGCAGCAAATGAATGGAGAGCGATCTGAGGGCAGGACAGACACGAGAGCGACCCAGGCCCATACTGTTCCTGAGTCTGACGTGGCAAAGCCCCGTGGCTCGTCCACCCACGGTCGCTCTTTCCTACGATGTACAGATTCTCACCAGGCCAATTCCTCTCCTTCGCACCCCACCTTACTGCATAAGACGACCAAAAGCAACAGGAGAGGGGCCGCTTGCAATGTGGGGTTGTGTGGTCTCTGCGCTGTACGCGGTGCTGCGTTTGCTGTTGCGCTCCTTCCTGTGCTGAATGCGTGCTTGTGCTTCAACATGGGTAGCTCCTTCCCGCCATGCGACTGGCTCCTGCAGAGTCCCCTCCACAGCCATTGAAAAAGGAGGCGAGCAAAGAGCGGAGTTCTCAAGACGGTAACAGAAAGCATCGCCCCAAGATGGAGACGGATCCATGATCTGAACGCATATGTGGACGTGCATCGACGCCTAACAGCTGCCGCGCCGATGGACGTGCAGATTTGTTAGTTGCCGATGGCAGAGACAGCCATTTGTGTCTGCGTGGTTAGTTCTCCATTCAAACTCACGGCTGTCCGGTTGTTCGTCGTTTGAAGGACGCTTTTGCTCCTCTCTTGTCTCGTTCTCGTTCTCGCCGTCTCGCTTTTCTTGTCCCTCGTCAATTGCCTCCCTCGTTGATTGCCTCCCCTTGTTAGCTTTCACTGTTTACGTCTTTGTTGCGCTCACTCCACTTTCTTTACAGCAATTCATTTCTTTCCTTTGCACCTTGTGCTCACTTAGCTGGATAGCAGATCTGCTATTGACACTTTTTCTTAACCAATTCCATCTATTTTACAAGCATTGAGCTGAGTGTCGAGATACGTCGTCTTGTATTCTCAGCATCCCATTGACACAGCCCAATTGACCAAGAACCTCTTCCATCGTCCCCCGTTACCCCCCACGCAACCCCACCATGGCATACCGGCGTGAACGGGACATCCATCATTCCAAAATGGATTCCACCACCGAGTACGCCAAGATGTACCAACGAGCCCAGCGGGCAGCCCGTAACGGCAGTTCGTTTTCGCCGCCGGCGTCACCCTCGCCGGCATACGAGTTCACACGACAGCACACGTGGCCAGGGCAGCCAGGGCCGCCACACCCACCAGGGAGTGGTGCCGGCAGTTATGAAGACCGGGAGAGAGGCATTCCCATCCGGGAGCGGCAACGGGATCGCGGGTGGGACCACCGCAGCCACGCCAGTCGAGACTACGATGGCCAGCACGAGCAGGAGTACGACGACCGTGGCGAGCCAGAGTATGAGTACGAGTACGAGTTCGACGGTCGGTCGTGGCAGCCGTCTGGCTCGCCGCGGACGCCACGAACAGCCGGCATGACCAGCGGCAGTAGTCTGGGCGGATCCTACGGCCGTCGCGAGCGTGACCGGGAGCGTGACCGGGAGCGAGAGCGGGAGCGGGAGCGAGAGCGAGACCATGACAGAGAACGGGAACGGGACCGGGACCGGGAAAAGGATCGTCGAGCCAAAGAGCGAGAGATTCGCGAACGCGAACGGTCACGCGAGTTGAAGTTGGAGCGAGAACGTGACGAGCGCGAGCGGCAGCGCGACCGGGATGTCTGCCGCCAGCGCATGCGTTATGCCACCGAGAACTACCCGAGGCGCCTGCGCGCCTACCTTATGCCCGTCCTCAAGAACCAGCAGGCCATGGACCACGCCACCGACATTTTTGTCAAGCTCGACCAGGACGCTCGTTACCTGACCCAGAGCGCCAACACGCTCCTGGAAAGTTTGACGGCCGTGGCCGAGGACCAGGCCACCGGCGGCAATGGGACAGGGCTCGATGACCCGGCACCTGGCACGGACGAGTCATCCGAAGACGTGACCACGACCGAAGAGAGCAGCGCTCTGGAAGACTCGGAGACGGCGGCCGAGTCCGTGAGCTCGGACGCCGACTCGGATGACAATGAACAGCAGTTTGGTTCTTTTGGCCACGGCGGCGACATGCCGAGCTTCAGCAGCCGGCGGTCTAGTCTGGCCAATGGCAGTGTAGTGGGTGGCGGTGGTCGTCGACGGAGCAGCGCGAGCCAGCGCCACAGCGGCAGCGGTGCCGACCACCAGCGCAAAGGATCCAACAGCACAACGACGGGACCAGCATCCACCACTGGTGGTGGTTCGGCCGGCGGCGGTGGCCCGCCGCCGCTCATGCACTGGAATGGATTCCGGCCGTTTGCCCTCAACAAGCACCCTGACAGTGTCAACGACCGGCGTAAATCGCTTATGGCCTTCACCCAGATTATCAGTGTCACCTTGCTGGCATCTCTGGGCGTGGACACAGGTAGCAACGGTGGTCGTGCCCGCCTGTCCACTCGAGGCTTGCTGGCTGAGCTACTGCGTGTACTCCAACCCAAGGACTACCGCGCCTACTTCCGTGCTGCAGCCCGCGTCATCTTGTTGCCCGAAGGTGGCAGCATCGTCTCACGCGCGCAGCCGCCTGATGAAATGGCCCTCGAGGCGCTCGAGCGCCAGCTGCTGGGCACGGCCAAATTTGTTCCCGGTGTGGCCACCTCGGCATCGTCGTCGCCAGCGCCCATGATGGCATGCCTGACATACACATCAGCAAATCACGGAACGATCACCCTGTATCGACTTGACATGGGCGGTGGTGGTCTTGGTGCGGAAGGCTGGCCGCGTCGCATCACGCCCGTGTCGGCCATGGCGGCCGTGCCCAAAGAATTACTGCGGCGGACAGCCCGCTCAATGCCGCCGTCGCGGCGGACTGTCCTCAAAGTTGCTGTTGCTCCGCCAAGTGGCACAGACAAGAAGAAGGACGAAAAAAGGGCTATGGGTGGACGCAGCGCGAGTATCAGCGAGGACAAGGCGAGCTCATTTGACGATGGAGACAAGGACAAGGACGATGAGAAGGAAATGGAACGGCTCCGATTCCGCTGGATATCCATGCCGCAGGACACGTCCGTTCCCCAGATTGGGCACACGTCGACCGTCGACGCGCCCGCCCTGTCCTCCAAGTTCCTGAACGCCATGGGTATGTCACGCGAGGACCGCACGTTGTCGGACGGCACGACGGCCAATACGGTGCAGGCTACACTACCGGCCATGTTTGCTTGGCTGCACACGCGCGCGGCGTACCTGACGGCCATGGATATGACCGGCCCCGAGCTCCAGCGGCCCACCGCTCCGTCTGTCTCCAAGCCAGAGAAAGCATCGCCTACGAAGGGGCGCGACCGTGATCGTCGTGACCGTGACCGCGACCGCGACCGGGAGAGGGACCGCGACTACGACGACAACGCGTCGACGTCGACGTCGACCACCGCCCAACCGTCTCGCAGCCGCATGCGCCGCGTCGTCCGTTATCAGCACGGCCCCACGCCTCTCGACCACGACGGAAAGGAGCCCACAATCGTTGTCCTGCACCCGAGCCGCGGCGACTGGGTGACGTCGTCGGTCTTTTGGACGGAGAAGAAGGAGTAGACACTCTCGAACGTTTCGATTATGCTATGTTGGAGCTTTCATGCTTTTGACGCGAATTAATGCACTTGCCAAACCCGGAACAACGTTTGAGGATGTGGTGGGAGATGTTTATTTTACCAACTACGTTTGTCATGTTCGGTAGCTTTGTTGCATTCTTTTCGCACGTTTTTTTTTCGTACGTTCTTTCTCCAACCACGTTCCAATTAATCTATTTAATAAACTTCGTTTCACAGCATGGATACAAGTCGTATGCAAAGTAGCCATAACTTATCAGGGCAGGTTGTACTGCAGTTACCGGATTTGATGTATGTCTAGTGTAAATCTGTCACAATATGCTACTTACACTGGTGTCCATCACATAAAAAGACACACCGCGAGGCCTTGCTCGAAGAAACGTCAACACCTCCCATATCAAAAGGCAAAAAGTCGGGGGTGTGGCGAGGTTCCCTGTCAGACAAGCACGCCTATTTGGCTCCTCCTCGGGTTCCTGAAGACCCGGCAAGCTAGGCTCCACGCTCCGTTCTCTTTTCCTTTTCCGTAGACCATGCGAACCCCCTTTCCCCAATCCTTCCCCTCTCCTCATGATGTGCGGAGAGCCAAAGTCTGGAGTTTTGTGCTAGCGTCTGCCCGGAGTATCGTCTGGGAGTATCTCAAGAATCATGACGCGGCGTTCCTTTTGTGTTTGAATATTTCCATTTGTGCCTTGTCGTTTCTTTTGCATTTATTTTCTATATTCTAGAAAAATACTTGATATTTTCACACGGGCAACTAAGAGAAATCCCGTCACGCGCCTTTTTGCCAGTCCTCCTGTGTAAAACCAGACTGCCCATGACGGTGTAAGTGCCACACCCGTGAGTCGCGATTATGGTAGTTATCCGCGGGATAACAATAACCGTGGCCAACTGGGATCATGACTATATAAGACCTGCTTCCAATGTTGCTGTAAAGTCGAGTAAGGGTTATTGTATTCACTGAAACCAGTCACGATCCAGCTCTGCTTTACCCGGTTTTGTTCATTTCGTCTCACTTTTCATCCACGGCTTACACGGCACCCATCCACCTTCATTACTGCTCCGGTTTCAACCACTACGACTTTTCCAACTTCCACAAGCTCCGCTCGGAATGGCCTCCCTCAAAGGCAAAGTCGTATGCGTCTCGGGCGCCGCTTCGGGCATCGGAAAGGCGACGGCCAAGCACCTGTTCTCGCTGGGCGTCAACCTGTCCCTGACAGACAACCGCAAGGAGGCCCTGGACGCGGCCGTCGAGGAGATCAAGACACAGCCCCTGGCCGACGGCGTGTCGGCTGCACCCAAGGTGTATGCCCGCGTCACGGATGTGCGGTCGTCGGCCGCGGTCAATGCCTGGATTGACGAGACAGTCAAGACGCTCGGCGGCCTCGACGGCGCCGCGAACTTGGCCGGTGTCGTCGGCAAGAACATTGGCAGGCACGACGTGACGGACCTGTCGGACGAGGAATGGGCGTTTGTCAACGACGTCAATCTGACGGGCGTGTTCTATGCGATGCGCGCCCAGCTGCGGGCCATGAAGAAGATGGGCGGCGGCACGCCGCGCAGCATTGTCAACGCGGCCAGCACGGCGGGCATCGCGGGCAACGCCAAGAACGCCAATTACAGCGCGGCCAAGCACGGCGTGGTGGGCCTGATGCGGAGTGCCGCCAAGGAAGTCGGCCGCGACAACATCCGGGTCAACTGCGTGGCGCCCGGCGTGATTGACACGCCCATGGTGCAGACGCTCTTCAAGGGGCTGGCGGACGGGATCGAGAAGATTGTGCAGGAGGGCCAGGCGCTGGGCCGGCGGGCCAACCCGACCGAGGTGGGCAAGACGATTGCCTTCTTGCTGGGAGAGGACTCGTCGGTTGTGACGATTGACGGCGGTCAGATTTGCTAGACGAAGTGCATCGCGCAGCGCATCGGATGACCAGGGAAAACACCGTTTGCGCTGTGTATACAATGAAAAGAACAATTCAATTTCCTTGATTCTATGAAGCCTCGCAACGACTATACTGCCTCACTTTGATGGTACACTTCCTTGTGGAGTTACTCATGCAGAGTCTGGACGTGCCCTCTTCAGTGCAGTTTGAGTTTCTGGAACATGTCGGCAGCAAAATCGGGTAGCCTTCGCATCAGCGACTCCACCTCGGGCACGACCCGGAAACGAATGAGAGCAGATGCACAATACTCACTCACCATGCTGCGCAGCGAGTCTCGTTTGCATGGCAACGTATTTTCGTAGGTGAACTGCACGAGACAGACTATCTGCTCCAGGCTGTCTTCTGTGACCGTGTACCATACAAGAAGTCGGTGTAGCTTTCTCAGGGCAGCGGCCTTTAGACTTTCGATGTGATGATAGTCGGCCAGAACATACATGTGGGCATGGACCATTAGGATGTTCAAGGTTCGGTTGTCCGGCCAGGCCACGTCGTCGTGGCTGCAGAGCGGATCCGGGCATTCAGTCATGAATCGACCGGTCTGACTTGTAGTGGTAGTGCCACGGTCCTTTGCATTCCTGGTTGTTGAACACATCCCATCCTTTGATTTTTCGGTCAAACTAGGCAATTTCTCGACGCCGTTGTAGTCACCCGTGTACAGAAACATGGCAAATCGGCCAAACGTCTCCTTGCTTACATCAGGCCAGACTACACACTTGCTTGCTGCTTCCTGCATATTGCCGTTCACAAGTACGTCGAGAGGGATGGATTGGGCGGCTACCAGTCCCGAGTGGAGGTGGTACTCTTTCTTTTCTGGGCCAATAATGAATTTAAATGGACTAGACGAGACAATCCTATTTGTCGGACACGTTAGTTAGTATGCAAAGTCAAAAGACGTTTATGAGGTAACAAAGGACAGACGTCTCATATAATGCAGAATCCATGGCCATTTATGAATTGTTTCGTGGAAGGTCGACAAGAAACACCCAGAAACGATGCCTTCAAAAAGTTGTGTCGTCCGTGTACGATATGTGAGAAAACAACTGCAAATCTTGGTAGAGAAAACCGTCCTATATATGTTTGAAAACGCCGTTTGTAATAGTCAGCCGAAACAGGGCGACAAACAGCCTGCCAGTCATTCACTTGGATACATTTGGAGTACACTGACTTCAACAGTTCACAGCATAATGATTTACTTACACCAGCTAGGGTTCATCTCATCAATTCAATAACATGATATATGTACATTTTACAGAGAATATAACTGGTTTAATACAACCATCGTCTTGCGCGCATCATTCTACGACACCCTCCGTGAAATACTCGGGCGACAGCGAGAGCCGGTCTCGGATGACCAGCACAATGTTGCGCCAGTCAGCCATTGCTCCTTGGCCAACGTCGCCACATGCAAGTCCTTTGCTGCAGGTGTTTGTCAGCATCTCGTCCAGGACACCAGACAAAGCATGACATGCACACATAAACTTACCTCTGGGGCAACAACACTTCGAACCAGCCTGTTGGCTGTGCCTCGTCCGTCTCGCGTTCGCCGTCCTCGTCCGTCGTAGCCACTTGTGGCGGCTTCACGCCCCATGTGTCCCGCAGCGTCGCCAGCTGCCGCGCCGTCAGCGGGTGGTTCCACATGGCCGTGTTCATGCTGGGCGCCACCAGGATCCGCTTGCCCAGCGCCGGATCCGTCTCCCACGCACGGATCACGCTGGTGAGCAGCGTATCGCACAGACCGTTGGCGATTTTGGCGAGCAGGTTCGCCGACAGCGGCGCCACGACCAGCAAATCGGCCCAGCGGCGGAGCTCGATGTGCAGGATAGGCGCCCCGCGTGTCCAGGGCGGATTCCACTCGTCGACCTCGCCGACATAGACGGCGTCGACGTTTGGGAGTCCTCGCAAAGCGGCAGACTCGACGGCGGGCTGCTCAGCGGCTTGGCCCTGCAAAAACTGAGCGGCGCTGGGCGTCAGGATAATCCGGATAGATAGGTTTGGCACGCGCGAGAAAGCAGCGGCGATCAAGGGCAGCTTGATCGTGGCGACAGAGCCGCTGGCCGCGAGCAGAAGATGTGTCTTTCCGTCATGGATGGCGGCGGCAACCTCCGCAGCCGCCGACGGCCGGTCCGGCCCTGTTGTTGCTGAAGACATGGAGTGTATTTTTGTCGTATATACGTCAACGTATTCGGGAAACAGACGTCATAATGTATGTCGCGGGCAAGAAATATCATTGTCATTTCAGTCGAATTTATAATCTCAGTCAGTGACGTGCTACGATGTACGCTGTAGCTTTTAGATCAGCGGGCTGCCAGAACACTCTCTGGGATGACTAACGTGGTCACGTGCACTTACACGACTTACATGTGCGACTCCGAGACATTTCTAGGCTCCATGACTCCGAGCCTCATGAAAACAACTCGTTATCGCTAAATTCGTAATGCGTCATGCAATGTGCTCTATGAATACAAGTATAGGCAGTGTATGAGGCGCCGTTGCGCCGATCTAAACAAGAAACAATCAAAGCCAACACCACCACCGCCAACAGTTTGTGGCTCGTCCACCGTCCCAGAGGTCTTTGTATCATTCCGTCTTCACCTCTACCGTTTTGTCGAGTGTTTCCTCAGCTTTTGCAGCTATCTTTTCGGACGGTTCCTCGGTTTTCTCGGCAGGCTCCGTTATTGAAGAAACATCCTTGTCCGTCTCTTTCTCGCCGTTGTGTTCCGCCGTCGTTTTCTCAACAATCCCCGTGTCCACCTTCTCCTTCTCGTTTGCTCCGTCCTCATCGACAAACAGAATATCGTCAAACCTGTCCGTCTTCGTCACCGGAGAATCACCGCCGTTTAGATTGACTTCCTCAAACGCTTCGGCCGGTTTAGCAACAGCCGTCCGTGGCGGTAGTGGCGGAGGGGGACCTCTTGGGAACGAAACAGCATTTAACTTGGCTTCGTCTCTGTACGGGTTGCCGCTCTCGTTGCTCCACGGGTTGGTGTTGACAGCAACGCCCCGCGCTCCAGGACCGTCCGAGTCGACTTGTGGCGCATCCGGCACGTCTTCATAGACACTCCGTTCCTCGTCCTCATCAATGGCATCGGGCACCACCAAACCCGTTGCGCTGTTGCTTGCCTCTTTTTGTCGCTCTTTCTCTCGCAGAGCTTCCCGTTCTCGCTCTGCTTCGGCCGCCTCGGCCGCAGCCATGGCTGCCATGATGGCCTCGGCATCGGGATGTGGCTCAATCAGTACGGGGTCGGTTTGCGTCGCCATGTCCGCCATGGGCACAGCCGGTCGGCGGTCCATGCTCCAGCGTTGGCTCAGGCTGCTCTGCGTGCGCCGGTGGCCGTTGTGGAAGGCGCTGTAAACGGGACTCTTGGGACTCGGGTTGAAGGCGAACACCTCGCTAGCCGGGCGGGAGTTGGTGGCGGCTTCGCGAATCTCCAAGCCTTCCTTTTCAAGAGCCAACACACCGTACGGGTCCGGGTCTTCGGGGTCCGGCACACCAAACAACGAGACCGGCGCTTCAATATCGACATCGCCAGGCGCCGGCTGGCCCTCAAGCTCGTCCATCAGCTCTTCGTCGACGTCGGTGCGGCCCTCGGCGGCCTTTAGCGTTTCCATCAGCATAGAGACCTCGGGCGGCCGGTGCCGCACTTTGCCCGCCAGGATGTCCACGGCGGTAATCTCTTCGTGGTAGAAGCGCTTGTTCTCGTCCGTCCGCTCGACGATTATGGTGCCGTCGACCTGGACGCCTGCGTAGAAGCCGCGCGACTTGAGGTATGTGAACACGGGCCGGTTCATCTCTTTCCACTTGCCGTCGTTCTCAAGCACGCCGCCCGCGCCGACAGGACCTGCCACCGCACTGATCTCGCCGCCGAGCGTGGCCCGTAGTTTTGTAAACGACGCAAGCGCCTTGCGGTTGTTGATCACCAAAACGCAGTCGTAGATGTCGACGCCAACCAAGAAACCGAGACCGGCCGTGTGCAGAAGAATGCCCGAAGGCTCAGACCACGTGCTGTCCTCCTTGCGCGCGACAAGGACACCCGAGCCGCCGGCGCCCGAAATCCAGAGACCCGTGCGCATGGTCGTGAATATGGCGAGGCCGACGGCCTTTTGGATGACTTTTTGAGGAATCTTTTTGATGACGCGCTGTTTCGACTTTGGGCCGTCGCGGTCCGGGCCGGAGGGCTTCTCGATTTCCGTGTAGAAACCATCCTCTGGGTAGTGGTTAGAACCAATGCTGCCAAGATGAATCCAGACCCAGCTCGCCGTAATGCACCGAAAGACTTACTGCAAAAGGACCGGAGAATACGGGCTGCTTTGTCGCTTTCCTTGTCAAGCGTAGTCGGCCAAAAGGCCTCGCTGCCGATGCGGTTGGAGAACCGGTTGACGGGCGCGCCAAGCTTGTCCGCCCAGCCCCAGACCTTGTCGAATCCCTGCTTGCTCTTGGTCTTGGTCGTGTCCCACGACGGCAGTCTGGATGTCACCTTTTCCATTGTGATATCTGTGGGAAGGTGAAGAAAAGGTACGGAGGAAATTGCAGAAAGCAAAGAAAATGAAGAGAAACGAGAAACAACAGAGCATGGAGACAAAACAAGCCTCAATTAATGGTGCATGGCAAAGTTGGCGCCCGTCATGGAGCTCTCTCGGCTTACAATCACAAAGAGGATCAGCGACGAGAGTCAGAATGGTCAAAAGGACAAGAGACAAGCCGAAAAAATACAGCAGTCAGACAGGAATCAGTCAAATGACGACAATGGGGAAAGAACGAGGGACAGCACGGAACATTAGAAAGGCAACGCAGCTCCTGCACTTTACTACATCAAGCTCCTCCGGGGCGTTGGGTAGGCAGTCGCAAGCCAACGGTGAGGTGCGAGCTGGTGGCGCCTTCCTGTGGTGCCTTCCTGTGGTGCTTCGTAGACACTTCGACCTCTGCACTGCGCGGGGCCGCTGTGGCTTTGCGTAGAGGAGGGGCAGGTGTGGTGCTGACGCTATGCGCTGACCTAAACAGCGGGAGCGGTTCTAGAGATGCCCCATTCCGGCGTTTCCGAGACTGCGAGAGCGAAGCGCGAGGCTGCAGACACCGAGCTTAGAAGAGCTCGAAGAGTAGAAGCAGGTCGAGTAGCGAGATTCACGGCGTGTCGGTGATTGACTTGGCGTTCGTTTTCTCACAAACGGCCTCAATTGATCAGCTAGACGCAATACCGCGGCACGGCCTCTCCGTCACTCAGTTTCCATCCGTCTTCTTCCGTTCATTGCCCGCAGCGTCGCATATCCTGCCATCTTGGGAGGTGTTCGTTCCTTTCTTTCTGTTATATTTCCAATTCTCACCATGGCGACCTGCATGGATCGACGGTTGACGGTATGAACTTCTGGTCGAATTGAGGTTGAAGTGTTTCGAAGACAGCGTACCGGTCCTGTTATTCTTTGCCTCGGGCGGTCTCTTGACCGTAGGCCAATAACAGTCTCGCTCACTTGCTACATATCTCAAGAAAATGGTAGCCCTTGTTAGGCATACTGTCAGCGGCTGCTCGGTCAGGAACGTATACTGTTTCGCACTGTAATCGAAGGGGCCATCCCAATAGTCAAGCTCTTCAAACGGAGCAAACAACCCCGGAGAATACACGATTGACCTGCAGGTGTTGCCTTGGCCGGATAGGCCGAGCGCTTGATTTCATCAGCAGCTTTTATCGATTCCTGCAACAATCCAACTGGCTTTTCGCAAGGCGAGGCCAATTCATCTTGCACTCACCTACCAACTGGCGCGCTAAGCGATAGGTACCTGACGTACTGCATGTACCGCAAAAAGATACATGCGCAATTAGGACAATGACAAGGGCAGCAAACGAAGAGCATCGGTTACATGCCTGTGCAGTCCCGCTTAGAAACCTACAAACGACGCCCAAGATGTGCAAAGCAACACCACCGTCACGATGCGAACCTGCAACCCAATAAACAACCGTCATAGCTCCAAGTCGAGCGGGTCCAATTATGCGGGTTGTTTCTGTGCCTCTGTCTGTCGGCTGGCAACAGCTGACAAGTGGGGCCTGGTCTTGTTTTTCGTCTCTCCCTGCCCCAACCACCTGGTCACCAAACGACGTATGTACCAGTACAAGTACCAGTACCTGCTGCTGGGCCGCTAGCGCCCTCAACCTCCTCCTAGATCCCCTTTAGGCTGCTGCCCGGTTCCCTTTTCCAGGACCTAATACGCGGGGTTTTGCGCGCGTGATAAACGCTTCAGGATGCCAAAGCAGGGCTGCACGCCCGCTAAAGGGGTCCAGGGGAGCTTCCCTGCCTGCAGGACCATGCCAGGACCATGCCAGGACCTGCAGATGCAGAGATGGTACACAGATTGAGCGTGTCTGTGCCCCACAGCAGGCGACTGTGGAGATCGTGACTTGCGTCGTAACAAAGTATCGGTACGTACTGTGTTCCAAACCTGGGCGCTTTCCTTTTTCGTCAGGAAAGTCAGGTCCGTTTGTACTTCTGTATGGTTGCGTCGTTGGTTGCCTCGGCGGCTTTCGTGCGGCGTTCGTCGCCTACAGAGTCGCGCCTGCCGTGTCAAACTACCCCTGTAAAAGGACACAAATAGGGGGAAAGGAAGGAAGGCGCGTCCGCAGTCCTTTTCCAGCCACAGCCCCATACACGCCCAATCCACGCCCCCAGTTTGGCACCAACAGCACGTTACCTTCCTTACTCAGGGCGAAAAAATAAGGCAGGACGCTGCGCACACAGCAACCCAACGAGCCCACATTAGCAGCCCGCTAGCAGGAATTAGCAGGCACCATGCGCACATGACAAGTTCTCCAAAATCCCTTCGTTCTTCTCCTTGCCACTCCTTCCCATTCGACCTTGCCATCGTCATCACACTTCTCTGTATTCGCATTCACGAAGCGCTTCACCACAAGCATCAGCATCGTCTTCGCGGTTCGACGCCTCTCTTCTTCTCCCTTCCACGGGCCTCGTCTCCCGGTTTGCTTTGTCTTGTCGACCGGCTATCCTGCCCTCACTGCAGCTCGCTGACACCCACCCGCGTTTTCAGCCGCTTCGATCGCGAAAATCGAAAACTTTCGTTTTTTTCAGTCCCCTAAAAAAACACAATCTTCTACCACATCCGCCCATCCTCCTATCCTCGTCGTCTTGGACACGCTCGACTTCATCTCCTTCCTCCCTCTCTCTTCCGCATCGTGGACAATTGATCCTCGGTGTTGACGTTCTCCCTTTTTCCACCTTTTTCTCAGATTCCCTCTACAGACACACAATGTCGTCCGAGGTACAGTCTCGACCGGCTGCCACACGCGGTGGCCGGGGCGCTGCACGCGGTGGCAGAGGAGGCTTCGCTGGCCGTGGCAGCACGCGCCGGACGAATGGTGATGCAAAGAACGATGACAGCAGCCCAGTATCCCTCGAGGACGAGGGCGAGATTGGCCAGCTCAAAAAGCTGTACGGCGCCAAGACGTCACTCATCCGCGAGTTGTTCCCCGACTGGTCCGAGGTCGACGTCCTGTTTGCTCTCCGTGAGACCGATGGTGACGAGAACCTGACGGTCACGCGCATTGCCGAAGGTGAGTTTTTGTGGTTTTCTTGCTGTCGTGCTTTTCTGTCGCGCCATTTGGAGAGCTTCAAAGGTGGACACGTGCTTTTTTTTGGTCTCTCGAGCTTTTGCTCAGACAAGCTTCATCCTCCCTTGATTCATCACACAGCTTGCATCATGCGATTGGTGCCACGCAGCAATTGCTTCGGCTTTCATTTAGAGAATCAATGCTCGGCAACACGTCGTCTTTCCGTTTCCATTTTCCATTTATTTTTTTGTTTTTTGGTTCCTCCTTTGTCATACAACTCCACACCCAATCGTCAACCTCTCCGATCTTTACTAGGACCGTTCTGGCCCATACTAACTGCTTCCTCCACTAGGCACCATTTCTCAGTGGGACGAGGTTTCCAAGCCGAAGAAGGAACGCACGAAGCCAAAGGCCGCAACCGCCGACGCAGCTGCAGCCCGGCCGGCCAGACGCGAAGGGGCAGGCCCCGACAAGACCCGCGGACGTGCGAATGCCAGGCCGGTTGAGCGCGGTGGGCGCAGTGCTCGTGGCCGCTCAGCTCCTGCACCGGCAAACGGCACCCGCCCCGATGCACCTCTTTCTGTCCCGACCGAGGAGTCGCAAGCGTGGGATGGCCAGAAGCCCGCCGACGAGTCGACCCCCGAACCGACCGCTGCCGCTGCTGCTGCACACACTACCTCCGCTGCTCCCACATCTGCTCCTGCTGCTGCTGCTGCCGTCCCGAAGACGTGGGCGAGCATGCTCCGCCAGACTGTTGTTCCCCTACCAAAGGCCGCTGCAAAGCCCAAGGAGGCTGCGCACGCAACCAAAGCTCCCACCGATACCGCTACCGATTCCCTCCCTCCCTCCACTTCTACTGCCGCACCCACAACAGCTCCCTCCTCCGCACCTACTGGCGACGCCGAACCCGAGTCAGCCACTGCCGAAGAAGACACGCCTGTCGTCAAGGAAGCGGCGGCGCTGGACGTCGCCATTCCGGTTGTCGTGCCGGAAGTCGCCATTTTACCCTCCAAGGATGCCCTTACCGAAAGCAACCTCGAGCAGGTCGACGACGACTCCCACCCTCCCGAAACCGATACCCTCCACAGCGAGGCCGCCGACTCTTGGGACCCCCGTGCCGCTGCTCTTGCCGGCACCAGCACTCCCATCTCTGCTTCCCAGCAGCACCACGCCAGCAAGCCCGCCGCCGTGGGCAGTGGTTATGCTACTACCGCCTCCAAGGCCACCGACCGCGGCGCCGTCCGCACCCCCAGCTACTCGCGCCGCATCCTCGACCAGGAGGAGGCGGTCCGTATGCCTGTCAACCGCGATGTTGACCGCGCTGCTGTGCAGTTTGGTGCCCTGAACTTCAACGGCGCAGATAACGAGGACATTGACGGCGACCGTGAGGAGCCGGAGACCCGCGCCCAGCCGCCCGATGATTCTCCCGTCGCGCACCCCCGCGCGTCCCTCCCGCCCGTTGCGTCGCCCGCATCCGTCCCCGACGCGTTTGCTGCCCAGAAGCAGGCTGCCGCCAACGCGACCCCCACCGCGACCTCTACCCTTCCCTCCGCGCCGGGGGCCACCGCGCCCGTCGCTCCGCCGACAGGCCCTGCTGCCCAGGCCCAGAACGCGCAGCCGTACGGCCGCTACGGCCAGGCTGCTCAGGATTCCGCGTTTGGTCAGAAGCCCTTCGACGCCTACGGCCAGCCCGCCCAGCCCCAGGCCTCGGCCTCCTCCCAGTTCGACAACTACCAGAGCATCCCAACTACCGCCAACACCCAGGCCCCGCAGGCCCCGACCGCCTACAGCTCCGCCGCCCCCAACGAGTACTCGCAGTACTTCACCTCCGATGCGCAGAGCCGCATGCCGCAGTACAACAACTACTACCAGGCGTACGGCCAGCAGGCCCAGGGCCACCAGGACGGTGCCCAGAACCAGCGCTCCTACGGCGC